GAATTTATAGTAACACCGAATAAAATGTACTTTTGTTTTTTGAAATATCATTATTATTATTTCTTTTGTTTGGCTGTGTGAAATAAATATGTATTTCTAAAACGTATACCAGCTTTTCTTTCCAATATTTTGTTTTCCTTTGTATCGACAGACTCTATTTACGCCATTTTCATTCGCGAAAACAAATCCACGTGGAACAGATTTTCGCGTAAATCAAGGATCAGGTGGATTTTGTTTTAATATTAGTGTAAATAAAAATTCATTAAATCAGTGAGAATTTATACTTATTTATTAATATTACTTTATTTCAGATATTATGCTGTAATACGACCTCTTCAATTGTGGGATGTTGATAAAAGGGGAAAAGTTATGTTATGTCTTGCATGGGTAGGATCTGTTGTATGTTCGATGCCGCAGGTACAGTAACTATAAATGTTTACTTTAAACCACAAGTAATAACATATATTTATTTATAAGTGTAACGGACGACTAGAAATAATCATATTCCACTCTGTGTAATTAATGATGATTTCCATTATTTATTATCTATTATTTATATATTTATATATGAAATTTTATCTATACAATATACAAATTTAAATATACATTATTTTTAGATGGTGGTATTTCATGTGGAAACCCATCCAAATATCTCTTGGTATTCTCAGTGCGTTACATTTAATACATTTCCAACATATACTCATGAAATCACATACTCCCTCTTTGGAATGGTTATGATGTATTGGCTCCCTCTTATCGTGATAATATATACTTATACAAGCATCTTATTGGAAATATGTAGAAGATCAAAAAAGAGTGAACATGGTATATTCAAATTTATTCTGTATTTTTAGTAGAATCAGAATGTATAAGTACAAATGTGGAATGTATAACTCAATTTGATTTACTTAGTTACTGTTTTAATTGGTTTCAGATAAAATTCGTCGTTCTTCTATGGGTTTCCTAACACGAGCAAAGATAAGGACTCTAAAAATGACGGTAATCATTGTTGCTGTATTCTTCGTTTGCTGGACACCCTATTATGTTATGAGTCTTTGGTAACTATAATAATTTAACCATATTTTTAAATCACCTGAACATGTTAATAAAAATTTAATATGGGAAACAGGTATTGGATCGATAGGCAATCAGCATATAAAGTTGATCAACGAATTCAGAAAGGTCTCTTTCTATTTGCATGTACAAATTCTTGTATGAATCCCATAGTTTATGGAGTCTTTAACATAAGAGACCGTAACAAGGTAAATAACTTCTATTCTGTGTTCTGTTCAACAAGTCTAAAAACGTGTAAATATGTTGTCCATTGTTTTAGACATCTGTACGATCAACCACTTTAGAAACTCGGATTACTCCATTGTCATTGTCGCTCAAACTTTTTGAATGATACAAAATTTCTTAATGTAATAGATGAAATAATTAAAAAGCATTGGAGGTAATATTCACATTATAAGTGACTTTTAGAAAAAACCGGGATTAAGAATTGCTATGTTAAAGTATAGTCAATCCTTCTATAACACGGTTAATTAGTTTCGTGTTGTATCGAAATCGTATTCTTAGAGTACTGTCAATTGAGTTGTTCAGGGGAATTCTCTGTTCAACCAAAACAGTATGATGGAAATATTTGTGTTATTCAAGTGTTATTTAATTATTATGTTGTGCTATACGGAAATCGTGTTATAAAAGGATCGTTGCAATTTTTGCATTTTGTTATACCAAAACCATATTTTCAGAGTACCATGCTATAAGAGGGTTAAGTGCATCAATAATACTACTTTCCTATGACAAGAAATGTTGTAAAAATAAGAAGAATCTGTAACACGTGAAATGAGAAGCATATTGATTATACAGTAACATATAACTGAAATTTATGACAAATTATTATATTTGCTTCATTTTCTTAATACATTATTTTTGAAAAACCATTTGTTACGTATTTTACATTATAGTAAGTAACTGCTTGCCTGAAAGTATGTATCAAATAATTAAAAAAAAAATTATAAAATCTACATCACTAACATGCTCTCTTGATGAGAATTAGTATAATATGGAAGCACACATTCTCACGTTGTATCGCTATTGTAAGTACAATGCACTCCAAAAATGAGTTAAACATGTGCATTCAAATTAATTCTCTTATACGAAAACAGTCTTATTTTATTGTTTTGAATGTAAGATGATTGACAACCTCAGTTGCTTTAAATTGAAAATCAATTAACCCTTTCACAGTTTTGCATGGCAAACGGCGTAACAATTTCTGTGAAATTGTTTATTTTTTCAGATATAGCACCTTTATGGCTAATAAAGGAGTTTATAAACAATTTGCACACGAACAACCGAAATGTAAATATTACATTATTTTGCTACTGCCTCACATTATTATGTCTTCTAAAATGTTTAAAGGAGTCTACAATCATCATGAGTTTTGCTTCTCAAATTAATTATGTAGAACATACGTCAGTTATTTCTCGTGAGTTTCTTTATAAGAAATAGTCGCTTTATTTTCAAAATAGACAGTGATCATAATAATGGTAACAATAAATCAACGGTGAAATGTTTTCAGTACTATCATATGTTGGGTCTAGAGAAGTTGCGATTGGAAATTAATTTTTCTCATATTAGACTGTGAAAGAGTTGAAGAAGAGTAAAGTCGAGTCTTCAATGTTAGTATCAAACAAATCACATTACGTAACGAGTATTCAACATCACAGCAAAACATGGAAAAAGATCTCGAGCAAGATCTATATTTAGTATAAAAAAAATTCATTTTCTCTTTGTGTATTTTTTTGTGTATATTATTTTGAACACTTTCATTTATCAATACAGTCGTAAGTCTTTAAGTCAACATTGTTAAAGTTGTACAGCACCGGTATTTTATCGTAACCAGTATGAATTAAAAATGTATTGCATTTTCGATCTTACTTAGGCATTTAAATCTTTCCAATAAGGGAAAAGACAAAAATAGCATCTCAGTTATAATTTGTAGTGTAAAATGAAAGTAATTAATGTGTCGATTTTCACTTTAAAGTATTCAGTTTGGCGTGAAGCACCTTATATGGAAACAGCCCTAGTACTTACGTTTCTTCACCATCGTGGATGAACTTGGTGGAAAGACCATTGTTGATACGCATTATTGATGTCACATGGCATTAGAGATAATTGTTGTGTTTGGGGATGAAGTGCCATACACTTTTTGTGTACTCTGTGTAAAAGTGTTTTCGTTTTCTACGAAGATATAGACATTTAATGTTTTACTCTTAACGAATATTTCTATTCCACTGCAGAACATGCACAAGTATTAGGTTGTGTAATATGAAGTATTAGATTTTGCTGAAAAAAGAAACCTTATTTGATGTTATAAAGGACGTTTAGTCAATCAAAATATGCTCTATTTGATTCTATATACTTCTGCCAACAT